TTCTAATGCACAAGCCGCATTTTCATTTACACCGCCAACTGCAAGAGATGTGGCATGAAATACATTGGTAAAATAGAACTACGACTGGCTGACAGGTTCAGACAACATCTTTTGGATACGCAGAACGGTGCCTTGAAGCCAGTACTGTTGTACTTCACCTCCCAGGATCAGCGAGTGCCAGCCACATAGACGTGACTGCTATCAAATCTAGCCACTCCAGTGGCATGCCTCACATTATCACATTCACTCTCCTTCTTATACCACTCTCGTTCTCCTTCTTTATTTCTCTGCTTTAAAAAAAAAATTAATGGCATTTATATTAAACACCAACTCCATATTACTGCATTGTTCTTATTGATAGACTGCGTTTTAATAATTTTGTTAATGGATAAGAAATAAATTATGTCAGTGTCACATATCGACACATTTTAAACCAACAAGCACAAATTCATAATAGAACTGAAATTTCATTTTTAAAAAAAATCAAAAATAACATAAAACAATGACGTTATATATGAGAAAAAAAAAACAACAAACTAGGAACCCCCCTAGGAACCCCCCGCCACCCCCCCCCCCCCCACCGTCACCCCCCCCCCCCTCACAAAAAAAAGTTTTACCCCAGAAACCGAGTGGGATCCGGGGATTATTACAAAAAGTAAATTGCTGGCTAAATATGCTTTACTTTCTTATTATATAAATGCACGTCAAGACAGGGATGTTCTAATTACTCATGGTGCTGTTACAATAAAGTAAACTAAACCGTCTGTTTTCCCCCTCAACTAATAGAGAAGATTTCCGTATTTAATTCCAGGCCAATACTATGAACAGATTATCTGCACTCTATAGGCAAATTAAGTGATGGACAACTCCCACCCTCTACCCCACCCCTTCCACCTCTATTCTACACAACCTCCGCCCCCCCCCCCCCACCCATTACAAGCCGTAACTCCCCATTCCCTCCCCTTTCGACCCTAGCTCACGCCGTAACTCTCCTCCCCTCCCCTTCCACCCAATATTCTAAGCGATAACTCACCCTCCCCCCTCGCCATATAGTACCCTGGTACCAATGTAAGGCTGGGTCGGAACGATGTTCATATCCGCTTGCCGGGGCGTCTAGCGGCAATACCACTGCGACTCTGCATTAATATTACCTTCCTCTTTCAATACTGAATCTAAAGGAAATTTCAAATTAGTGAGTGTATTTTGTCACCCTCTAAATAACACGGCCGCCAGAATGTTGCCGCTGTTTGCAGGAGCACATATTGTACATGCCTGAATGTGGCCCTGAATGTCACAAAAACTATATCAAGCGTTTGCCTTACAAAGAAGTTTCCTAATACACATTTTAGGCGGGCTGCGGACCACATGTTATAAATCTGTCTCGACGAGTATTTGAACCCATCACACAATAGATTTCAGGCAAGGACCTAGCCAGTTCGCAGCTACGGCTACAGAGAGTAAATGGACAATTATTGAAGTAAGAAATATTTAGTCTTGCACAGATATTGCATGAAAACGTGTGACAACAAAGCTTGTCGTCAATGTTTAAAAAATCAATCGCATTTTGATAATAGTACTTAACGTATTGTTTGCACATTTCTATCTTTCCAGACGCTAGTATTATTTTATGCTTTATGGTGACACGGGACTCGCAGCCATGATGATGGTGAGCGTAGCAAGCTATACCCGACTACTTTAAGAAAAGATTCCACAATTAGAACATTTTTTTTTAATATCAAGAAATCAAGAGCCATAAACCATTTGGATCGGTACTATGGATACCGCAACCCTTCCGCTTTCATTCAATGATAGATAGCGTAAATCTGCTAGAAATGTTGCTTTTCTGTCTACTCTCGGGTGTGAACCCGGACCACACAGAATTCGTCACCTTGTCCCTGCGCAGTCAACTGAGCTAGCGACCCGGGCATTAGAGAATTTCAGGACCTGTGTTAGCATTACAGGCCATTCCATCATTTAGCAGGTCCTTTGCAGAACGTCGCTCTCATCACAGTTTGCCTGTAAGAAAATTGGTCTCTTGCCAGTTCTCCCGCCTCATGAACTTTCACACTCACGCAGTCACTAATATCCTGTACCCATCTTCGTGTCTGTCGGCCCCTGGCTCTCCTTCCTGTCACCATGCCTTCTGCTATAATTTTTTTTCCAATCTGTCGTGGCGCTTGACATGACCAAAATATTTCAGCTTTCGAGAAAGGATGCTGTTTATTAGCCAATCTTCCTTGATGTTCAGATCTTTTAAGATGTCAATATTTCTCATCTTCTTTGTCCAAGATATTCTGAGAATCTTTCTATAGCATTTTAGCTCAAAAGCCCCTATTCTCTTTCTTAAGGACGGAGAGATAGTCCACGACTCACATCCGTATGTTGCCACAGGGAAGATGCATGCTCTCTAATTTGTTTCTCCTTGCTGGTGCTTAACCATAGACTTTTAAGGCTGTTCAATCTTTGCATTGCTATGGCCATCCTCCTTTTAATTTCTGTCGAACAGTCTCCATTTTTGTTTATTATAGAGCCTAGATATTCAAAGTTTGTGACATTTTCAATTTCTTCATCGTTTATTGTTATTTTTGGGTGACAGCCAGTTTTATCTGTGGACATTATTTTCGTTTTCATTAAATTCAAGAACAGATGTTGATCTTCACTGTGCTTTTGGGCGGACAATATTAAATTTTCTATTTCCTTTACGCTGTTCGAAAGGAGGACTGTGTCATCTGCGTAGCGGCGTTCGGAATAGGGTTGCCACCAATGCTGAGCGGATCATAACTGTCACAAGTCTGGTCAATTTTGACATTTCTCATTATATTTTCTGCGTATATTAGTATGCTTTTCATCAAACGTTCAGCTCTCCGCCTTTATCAAATCATGCTCTCGAGTATTTTCATTCCGTTCCTGATTTTTCACTCTCCAGGCACACGGTCCATGATATTTTTTTCCCCTAAATCTACCTCAGTATTTGTATCGTTCATGTCCAGCGGCACACATTTTTATATCTCTGTAGAGGCTTACTTCAGCATCTCGTGCCAATCAGTAATTCACCATAGAGTATATCATTGAAGTTTGAGGTTTTAAACAACGGATCAACATCATGGCTCAAGGGTAGTAACCCGTAAGTGCGCCGTTCTTCATCTAAATCAAATCTGAGTCCGAAGAAGCTCAGCACAGTACATAGGCTCTGTAGCACTTTGGATGATTTTCAACTCCACACTTTACCTTACTGTTTAGGCTACTCTTTTCCATTTCCGACCGCCAAGGGATTTTTTACAATGCACACGGCTTCAAATCTCACTACCCAGAGAGCAGGGGGAATTACTAGAAGTCCAAGTCCACTTACACAATTCCTAGCCCTTACCGGGGATTGAACCCGGAACCTCTAGCACTCGAAGTGGACACCATGCTTCGAGACCACGCAGTGCCCCCCCCCCCCCCACCCACATAGAGTAAATCCTTCGGCACTCTACACTCTTCAGTTATATATGTGCGCACAGAATAACTGAGAAATCCGATATTGAGCACTGAGAAAACTGTACACGAAAGCCACATAAAATGGCTTTCCAGCATTTTATGAGATTACTAATTGACAACAAAAAATACTATTTGAAATACAGCTATACACTGAAATTTAACATTGAAATGCAACCAAAACCTGCTGAAATAAAAGTGACATTGAAGTGGGAACAAAACTAAAGAAAAGCAATTAAGTGAAAATAGTTAAGCTAAAACAGCGAGTACAGCTAAACTATTACACGGGTATTAAATTTGAAATATGTTTATAGACATTTAGCAATACATATGTCTACTGTTTGTCTCTTGTAATTTTGAGAAGGTGATATAAAAGGTTATAATAATATTAAAATAATAAGTATATTAAAAACGATGGTAATAATAATAATAAACATGTGTAGCATCAACTAGAATCATTGCCCCAAACATGTACTGGAATGTCATGATATGTGCAATAATTAATTTTTTTCGTTTGAGGTATTGAAGTCGGCGGTGAAAAATTATTATAATATTTAATAATAATAACAATATTATTATCAAGAAGAAAAACAAGACAAAGAAAAAAATACGATGATGATGATAATTTGAAGATAGTGATGGAAGAGGAGGTTGAGGAGGAGGTTGAGGAATAAGAGGAAGAGGATGAGGACGGGTAAAAGGAGAAGGAGAAAGAAGAGAAGCAGAAGAGGAAGAAGAAGAAGGAGAAGGAGGAGAAGAAGAAGAAGAAGAAAGAGAAGAAGAAGAAGAAGAAGAAAGGAGCAAGAAGAAGAGAAGAAGAAGAAGAAGAAGAAGAAGAAGAAGAAGAAGAAGGAAGAAGAAGAAGAAGAAGAAGAAGAAGAAGAAGAAGAAGAAGAAGAAGAAGAAGAAGAAGAAGAAGAAAGAAGAGAAGAGAAGAAGAAGAAGAAGAAGAAGAAGAAGAAGAAGAAAGAAGAAGAAGAAGAAGAAGAAGAAAGAAGAAGAAGAGAAGAAAGAAGAAGAAGAAGAAGAAGAAGAAGAAGAAGAAGAAGAAGAAGAAGAAGAAGAAGAAGGGAAGAAGAAGAAGAAGAAGAAAGAAGAAAGAAGAAGAAGAAGAAGAAGAAGAAGAAAAAAGAATATGAAGAAGAAGAAGAAGAATATGAAGAAGAAGAAGAAGAAGAAGAAGAAGAAGAAGAAGAAGAAGAAGAAGAAGAAGAAGAAGAAGAAGAAGAAGAAAAGAAGAAGAAGAAGAAGAAGAAGAAGAAGAAAAGAAAAATAAGAAGGGGATGATGATAGAGGAGAAGAATGGGACAAAAAGAAACAGTAGATGAAATGAGGATATTCGTGAGAAGAAGGAGCAGGGGGTGTGGCAGGGAAGGAAACAAATGAATTAAAATACAGCATGGTGAAGAAGATATCCAAAGGAAGAAGTTCCTGGGCCACCATTCGTTCAGCAATTTAAACATCCGATTCTGACAAGCTGGAGGTTCAACGGGTGTTCTATTATTTTCTGTCAGCAGTGGTTATTAGATTTTAACTTCAGTCTCTTTACCTAGCAGGAAAAAATGCTCGGTTAATTAAAGGAAAACAAAAATGATTTTCAGATAAACCTGTTGTACGAGTAATACCAACATGCATAAATAGGACATCATAGTCTATATTCGACTGTTCCATTGCAGAAAAATGCCCTCTTACAAAAGCCCGCCAACTCAACTTCTTGCAAGCTATCACGCCTCGTGCATTATCCTACACTTATCATCATCAGGTGTCTTGCCGACTGCCGTATGCGATCATACATCTCCACAATCTGCGATCTATTGCAGCATGTATAAGTTCGTGTGAGGACACACCTCCATGCCATGCAATAAGACAAAAAAATCTTCTCTCACTGTCTTCCTCTATCCCTCCTTCAATAGATCTTTCCAGTGGTCACAACATGTTCCATTTGTCCACTACACTACATGGCCGAAAAATGATGACTGTCTCTTTCTAATGTCTGTGGTAAGTTGTCTTCGGGCTCCAGCCGCTTTCAAAACCTCTTGGTTGCCCTTGTTTCGCTGTCAAAGGTATTTCTGTAAAACTACATCTCAGAGGCCTCGATAAATTGTTTAGCTGGCCTACCGATTGTCCAGGACTCACAGCCATATGTTAAAACTGGATGCATGTGGCAAGCTAGACTGATTTTTTCAACTTTCAATGACAAAGATATATTGCATAAGATGTTCCTTATTTTATAAAATGCAGTTTTTGCCTATCCTATTCTGTTTCTCATCTCAGTAATTCATCTTCCAACTGATGTTTCATATGCCCAGATACTTACATTTCTTTACTTGTACCCAAAAAACACACCATTAGCTTTTATTACACATTAGGGAATAATTCTTTTCTTTGATACCACCATCACTTCTGTCTTTCCACTATTCATACTGCGGCCCATTCTTCCACTTTCCAACACGACAATGTCTAATATGTCCAGTAGTTCTTTCTGACTTGTTGCTATCAAGACTGTGTCATCATCATAACGTAAATTGTTTATATTGTGTCTACCAACCACAATTAAGGGCATATCAATTAAGGATCTCATTATATATTCACTGTATAGTGAAAAAAATCTGGTGACAGTACACATCATTGTCGTACGCCCATCTTTATGCTCTGAAATGTATCTAAACAGTTGGTAACTCTTACATCTGTTGATTGCTGCCAATACATTTTTTTTTCGTAGATCATGTCCATCTATGTTTCACACAGTCAAATGCTTTTGTATAGTCTATGAAGCATACGTACAAATCAGTTTTTACTTCTACATCTCTTTCTGACAATGTCCTTACTATCCTGTCCCACCAACTAACTCGCCTCCTCTCAATAACCCTCACCTGTTTTGGTCCACGGCCATTTATTCAATATATTCGTGGCTAACCCCTATATCTAAACACTAGGTTTAATAAGTATGTACCCGTCATCACCATGGTCGGCCCCTTTCCCTCTTTCCTGGCACCACGCTTTCTTCGACTCTTCTTATCAGTCCGTCGTGGCGACTGACGTGGCAGATTTCGAAACAAGATGCTGTATACTAGCCAATCCTCCTTGATGTCAACATCTTTCAGTTTCTACTTTCTAAATAACTCATATCCGACTTGATATTATTCACGCAACATGGTTCTCTCAAACATATGATTATCTGTCCTTTTTTTTTTTTTTTAATAACCAGAAACCAGGAGTTGTTAACCCTTTAGCTCTGTACTTGATTCTATGATTTGTTTTTTTTTTAAAAATCAGTTGCGTATCCTTTACAGGACGTTGCAGAACCAACCCTAGCACTTTCTGGCTGGTTTTTTAAGGCAAATTTACGTCGAGTATTTCGACGTATTCGGCTGTCAGTACCACGGTCGAAACCATCGCAAGACAAATTGTCCGCAGCAGGGATCGAACCCAGCGCTCCGACATTACGAAGCGCGTTCGCAACGCCTAAGCCACAGACGCCGACTGATTCCCTGATATGTACCGTCAATCTGGGAGAAAAATGGCTGTCATGCCTACCCTCGGGCGTAAACTCCCACCACAAGGAGTTCGTCACCCGGTCGCCGCGAAGTCAAGTTTAATCAACTACGCTGACGAGCCGAGTATCCCTTGTCCTAAAACGTCAATGCCGGCAGCTCTACTAGATTGTAACTAGTATTACCGTCTGTACATTTATGTCATCTAGTAATGGATTTCAATTAGTTCAAGCAAAGAAACATTGTAAACGAAGAAAGGGTAACCGTTTTTGGTATAACCAGTCGCTGTATTAGAGCATGTATCTTTCGCTTCAACGCTTCAAGCTATTGAGAGTCTCTGCTGCAAACATCTCCAGCCTGAATTTATCTGTTTGATTGGCCATCTCTTTCAAGTGTGGAGTGAAATTTCTCGTGGGCCTGCCTGTATATACAGTCACCGTCTTCTTGGTTGCTCCGTGGTCTTCTTCTTCTTCTTCTTTTTTCTTCTTCTTCTTCTTCTTCTTCTCTTCTTCTTCTTCTTTCTTCTTCTTCTTCTTCTTCTTCTTCTTCTTCTTCTTCTTCTTCTTCTTCTTCTTCTTCTTCTTCTTCTTCTTTTTCTTCTACTTCTTCTTCAAGTCAATACCGAGAAACTTTAGTAACTACGTCTATCCACAAGCCGTGCACTTTCAATCAACTCTGACACATATGTTCTTCTATGCCATGAAGTCAAACTGTCCAGCATCGGCTATTTCGGTCTTCCTCTGCCTCTCCTTCCCTCTAACTTTCCTACCGTCATGATGTACTCCAGTTTTTTTCTCCTTCTTATCGCATGACCATTCAATGTAGATTGTCTCTTTCTGATGTGGCAATCGGTTCCCTCCGTAAGTCATTTTCTTTGAAGACGTCTTCATTACTCTTTTAATCTGTCTAAGGTATTATCATCTTTCGTCTATTAACGGTTCAAGGTAAATTGACTTCGGCTACGTCGAAAAGACCTCGGACGGGGCAGTGCAGACACGACTTTGCTCTTCTGCTGCAAGCAGATCCACCTCCAGCTGTATTGCTGTAGAAAAAAGATTAATCGGGGGTAAGAGTAGTTTGACCCGTGACTCAATTACTCCGCATCGAAATCCAAATCAGGGAATAGTTGTTCCTGTATTATGGTTTGATGAGCTCCGTGTAGCATTCCACTCATCCGTGTTTGTAACAAATTGTCAAACTGCTGAAGAACAACCAGGGCTCGCATCCGTCTCACCATCAACCTTTTTGTTAGTAGACTTGGATGGAAAATTCCAATATACGAGGGTTTAAAGCAGATTGCATGTTTTTGCCAGCAGGCCATCTGTATTTATGTTGTGAAAGAAGTACAGAAAATGATGGCACAGTCCTAAACGCAAAATTATTAGTAAAACCTCATATAAACTAAACTGCTGGGAGTGAATTTGGACATCTTGTACATGATATGCAGCTGTGTTTTTAAAGTACATAACAACCATAAAACCGCCAAAGTCAACGCCCTACGGAATGGTCCCCCCACAGGTACATTTGGGTTGGTGTTACACCAGATAACATAGGACACACAATAAATAAAATATGTAGTATATATCTAACGTAACCTTTAATCCTGCTAGGTTTGTGGAGGTGAATCGATCAAAGATCTAGCACACAAAACCGGTATTTCTCTGTCTTCAGCTTGTTGCACTAGTGTATTTAGACAGTGTTCATTCCATTCATAGTCATTGTCATTCCACGATCTTTTGTACAACCACCCCCCCCCCCCCTCCCCTTTTTCCACCACTATTTCTCGACAAACCTGCCCCGACCCCTCGTTCTTTCCTTGAAAAATAATTTTCACAATCGAATCATGTCTCACCACCTTCCCGAACCAATCTAGCGTTTGACGCTTTACCACTGTCCAAAGAGGCTCTTGATGTCTCTTACTTATATGGTAGTTGTGTTTTATATAACTATTTCGTCAAATGCGACTATGCTTTTTTGTAGTTTGCAAATACACTTTCGTAATCGATTACGTGAAGAGTAGACTCACAAGTTGGACGTGTCCAGTGGGAATGAAGGCTTAAACTGCGGGTTTTTTTTTTTAATCATTACAACTCATTGGTTAATTGTGTTTAAGACCGTATTAGTGAGCATTGCTCACGATGTGCGCACGAAGAACCTCCACAATTTGGAGTGAACACCATTCACTTCAGACGCAACTGACACTTATGAAAGGATAACGCTAGACCAAAACATTGGGAGCATTTTCAAACAGTCCCTAATGGCACCCCTATCGATAAATTTAATTATTGCTGCTGGCCGACTGCAGTAACGAGAAAGTCAAAGCCAAGTTGCCAGGCATCTAAACGTGCATCAGAATACCATCAGTTGACTTTGGCACCGGTTCCAAGCCACTGCTTCAGCTGAAGACCGACATTTCAGTGGACAACCTATAGTGACAATAGCAGCAGAGAATAGCTTTACTTGGCTTTGTCACCCTAGAGACATGTTTACAACAGCTTCCTTATCTGAGCAGACAATGCCCCCACGACATCATGTGTCTGATCAAACGTTCGGGACAGACTGCATGACGTTGGACTTGAGCACGACGGATACCCCAATGACCTCGTACCGAGCAGGTGACAATCAACAGAGATGTGTCTCATTCTGATGAATCTTTCTTTTTGCTGCAGAAGTCGTGGTGTCTACCGTAGATGAAATGAAGGTTTAAGCCCAAAACTGTGTTGATGAATCTGCTTCATGGTAATGGGTGCGTAATGGTGTGAGGAATGATCAGTTACGACCGAATGAGACGATCGGAGCACAGTAAAGGAATTTTAAATGCGTAACGATACGTAAATTACATTATTTTTCTACACGGCCTTCTATTTTGGGATGCAACAGATATATTTTTTTCAACAGGACAGGACAACGTCAGACACCGTTCTGCAGGGTTGGCCACGCAGTTTATCGCTGGAAATAACATTCAAACCACTCCCTGGCCATCCCTCCTTGCAGACGTGAGTCCAAATGGGCACCAGTGGGATCAGCTGCAAAGTCGTATTTAAAGCCGAGATGTTGCTGCAGCCAATGATCTTGATCTGTTCTAGGCACTCCTGGATAATTTGGCAGTCATCCCACAGACCCATATCAGACATATGATCGCATCCATGCCCAGGAGAGGTCAGTCATTGATCCACGCAAGAGGGGGCCACATAGCATTCGAACTCGAAAGGTTTTGCACCTAGAGATTATCGTGGCCCAGATGCAAAAACTGAAGAGTTCATCGATTATAACCCTAACGTATTCTTGTGTGAAATTTGAATAATTTCCCTTATCGCAATACTAAGCTGCAGAATGTGAAAATTGTGGGAATGTAATGGTTTTTTTGAATTATATTTTATTCCAAAGCCTGAATCCTCCTTTCACTTTTCGCTGTGACAGTACAAATTAAACGTCAGTATAAGACAATAGTCGGCTCTGTGGCTAAGTCTATGCTAACGCTTCGAAATTCTGGGATACCGGGTTCGATCCCAGCTGCGGGCCATGGGCCTTGCGTTGGTTTCGACAGTGGTATCAAGACAGCCGACCGACCAGTAGCTATGGCAGACTACTGAACGTAAATTTGCCTAGAAAAACCACGCAACAGCCAGTGGCTTTTGGGGTTGGTTCTGCAACGTCCTGTAAAGGATGAGCAACTAACTTTAATAAGACAGTAACTGGTACTGTTCAATGAGCATTGACGATAATAATAACATCGTCAGATGGCTATGTTATAGATACTACACCTGCTGCATCTTCTGCTGTATCATCAACCGCTGCTGCTGACTCTTCCTTGGAAAGGACTTTTCGTCTAGCACTTAAACAGTATCCCACAAGGAAAATGGCACCCGCGAGCACGCACAAGCCAACAAATAGTTCTACGTAACTGTCGCCTGCCGCATAAGCCGTACTTTGCAAAACTGTAAATAAAGAAATAACTGTCTAGAGCAACCGCCCCTCTGTTTCAACTAGGTTTTTTTTTCCCCCGACTGAACACCAACTATTAGAGACTAAAGGCTTGAGTTTGAACAACAGATCAACATCATGGCACACTGGCAGTAACCCTTAAGTGCTCCGTTCTTCTTCTAACTCAAGTCTGAATCCAAAAAAGCTCAGCACAGGGCACATGCTCTGCAGCATCGGCGAGTATCTTGAAATAGTTTGCGAAGATTTTCAACTTTAAATTTCTGCCCAGGCTGTGCCTTTAGGCTACTCTTTTCGATTTCCGTCTGCTATGTAATTTTTTTATAGTGCGCAAGAATACACACGGGCGTCAGATCTCACTACCCAGAGACCAGCGAGAATTACTACAAGTCAAAGTTCACGTGAAAAAATCCCAGACATCATGCCGCGAGACTACACAGCCCCTTTGACTAATGGCTTGAAAGGCCAGGGCGTCTGATATATATTTTTTGAAGGTTAATGATAGAGGTCAGGACCTCCTGGCTGGATTATATATCACCTAAATATAAACACTCGTATAGGATAGAAGGAATGGACTGCTAGACACGGACTGATTTTAATCTGTTTTAAATATCTTCATTCTCCCCCACCCCTCCCCCTTCACCCATCCCCCCCCCCCCCCCCTTTTTTTCCACAAATTTTAACTTTCCTGCTGCCGCTTCTACTAGTGATTATTATTATTACTGTATGTTTCTTCTTCTTCTTCTTCCTTTTCTTCTTCTTCTTCTTCTTCTTTTTCTTCTTTTTCTTTTTCTTCTTTCTTCTTCTTCTTCTTCTTCTTTTTTCTTCTTCTTCTTCTTCTTCTTCTTCTTCTTCTTTCTATTCTTCTTTCTTCTTCTTTCTTCTTCTTCTTTCTTCTTCTTCCTCTTCTTCGTCTCTTCTTTTCTTCTTCTTTTCTTCTTCTTCTTTCTTCTTCTTCTTCTCCTTCTTCTTTTCTTTCTTCTTCTTCTTTTTTTCTTTTGCTTTCTACTTCTTCTTCTTCTTTCTTCTTCTTCTCTTTCTTCTTCTTCTTCTTCTTCTTTTTTTTTCTTCTTCTTCTCTTTTCTTTCTTCTTCTTCTTCTTCTTCTTTCTTCTTCTTCTTTCTTCTTCTTCTCTTCTTCTTCTTCTTCTTTTCTTCTTCTTCTTTTTCTTCCTCTCCTTCTTCTTTTCTTCTTTTCTTCTTCTTCTTTCTTCTTCAACTTCTTTTTTTCATCATCGTCATCCTAATCAACATTTTGCCCTCGTCTGCCTTGTAATTTTGTTCCTTAGTATTTATTAATCTCTTCTCCATTTGCACATTAGAAGGCAGTAGGGCCTTGTATAGTTTACAGCTTAATATCTGTCTGTATCGGCCGAAGATATTAAAATTAAAAACGTCCTTAAATGGCCGCTTTTTACGACATGCTTTTTCGGTGCAGTGGGTCTATGCCCCCCAAACCACCTTTCAAAGGGGTACTGTAACCTACATTGGGAATTGGTAAGTAAATATCCATGTACACCCCTGTGGCGCATTTGATATGTAAGGCTAGGCTCATTTTTACCCATTTCGACATGAGAATCAAGGTCATACATGGAGAGGGATGGGGAGAAATTCGGCTCCTTCTGGATTTGAACCATTGACACCCTGTAGAAAAACGATTGCAAAATGTCGAGAAAGACAAAACAAGTGTAGACCTACCCTGACAGTCTGGTCCTGAAAAACCAGCCTTACAACCGAGCAGACAGCCACCAGTATTGGGATTGCACGCTGATATGTTTTCGCTGTCAAACGGCAAACAATTCTTACTGCACATGGTGTTGCAGTTTGTTCCATGACATGCTGAAATGGAGTAGATTGTCCTCTTTCAGTGCAGAAACACACCGTCCTTAAGAAAGAGAAAGAGATTGTGGGCTAAAAGGCTATAGAAAGTTTCTCAGAATATCTTGAACGAAGAAGAGGAGAAATACTGGCATCTTGAAAGATCTTAACATCAAGGAAGTATGGCTAATAAACAGCATCCTGTCTCAGAAGCTGAGCTATTTTATTCATATCAAGCGCCACGACGGATTGCAAACATTTATAGCAGAAGACATGGTACCAGGAAGGAGTAGCAGGGGCCGACCGACACGAAGATTAGCACTTAAATAAGTGACTCCTTGAGTATAAAATTACATGAGGCGGGGGAGCTGGCAAAAGACCGAGTTTCTTTTAGGCAGACCGGGGTGAGAGCAAAGGACCTGCTACATGATTATAAGATGATGTCTATATACATATTTATATATAATATATATATATATATATATATATATATATATATATATATATATTATATATATATACATATATATTATATATATATATATATATATATATTATATATAAATATGTATATATATATATATATACACATGTACCTATATATTTCCCAGACAGCAAAGTAGTTTGCCCAGTCTCATTCTCAGCTCACACCGCTAAAAGCATGGACAAAGCTGATACTGTCAACCCTGTACCAGTTACGCTCGCAGATCATAAATGAGTCTCTTACACTAACTCTATTATATCTACTCTGAGTTAATCTCTGTGAAGAAGGTCGATGTCTTCTTCAAAACCAAGATATGATAAATGTAAGACACTTTCTGCGGGAACAGTGAGCAAAGGTGCCTAGGGACGTTGCTGCACCGAGGGGATAAGCACGCATTGGAATGCAAATGTGCATGACGTCAGACTGTGACCCATCAGGTGCTCTCTCCACAGTAAATGTTAGCTGTAACTGATCCCCAACAGCACTGTCTCTTGTCCTGTTTGTGCACACTCTCATACTCCTGCCGTCCATCTCTCGATGTTGATCCCTCGCTTGTATTTTTGTCCAACTTTTGCTCTCTAGACTATGACCTTTCCCTCCAGTATGATTTTTAAAAGTGTCTTATGTCTTTTAAGATGGCCAAAATATTTCAATTGTCTCTTTGATTTTAAATTTCTTTCAGTAATTTTCTTTTCCTTGGTAGGCTTTCCAGAACCTGTGTGTTTTTGTTTCGATGAAATATGACCTTTGTCTCTGTATACCTACATCTCCAGAGACTCAGTTCGATTTCTAGTTTCTTGTTCATTGTCCAAGTTTCTGCACAATGTAGCAGGACAGAGTTTATAAAACATTTTACGATTCTCATTTTTAGTATGTTATCTCTCTATCTGTCAATGCGCATCTCATTGAAGATAGTTTTAGCCATTCTTTTTCTCCTTTTGATTTCTGTTTCGCTTCTTTCATCATCTCTTACTACGTGTTCTAGATAGGAAAAGCATTTTGCTTGTTCTCATAGCTTTCTCTATTTCTGTGATTTCCACTGTTGGCTTTTTTTTTTCCATTGGTAATGACCACAGTTTTTGTTTTCCGAATCGTAATGTCCAAAACCATACTCTGCACTCCACTCGTTGACTTGTTCACCTAGTTCTCGTAACTCCTGTTCGCTTTCTGCTAGTAGACTCATGAAGTAATATAAAAACATAATAATGTGGGCAAAAACAACAGAAGGAAATAGAACAATGAACGGAACTAACCCAAATGAAATGTCTAGGACGAAACATAAATATGATGAAAAGAAATTGGATCTGAAAAGATGATATCAGAAAACAAGTTAAGGACGGTACCGGTACATTAGGAGACTGTAAAACGTCAAATGTTTCCGAGATGAGTAAAGACTTTCACAAGATAGTGGAAGATAGTGACATATTTACAATGGAAAGGGAAGTGAAGGTCGCTGACGAAAATGATGGCTAGATGGAATATTCTAGGGCCGTGAATAACAGTCTACAAGGCACAAAACTAAGGCTCACACAATCTACAGGGTTTACAGAAAGGAAAAAGAAGACATTTTAATAATATAGTTACACTATGACGTTTTTCCATCTTTAAGGATGATATATTTATTTATAATGTCTAGCAGGCAATCATAGAGAACACAGTAGATGGTTATAGTTAATGTTTCTGACAAGAAGTGCTCGCGTAAACACACAAACACCCCACAATCACACCACCCGCACACACACACACACACACACAGGACAGACACTCGCTCACACATGCAATCACGCACACATGCAAACGCACTACAATAACACACACACAAGACAAACCTCATCCACACACACAAAAACAGCACGGCGTTTGTAGGCCACTAATGCCATTATAAGTATTTGACATGTCTTTCTTTAAACGCTCAGCTCTCAGAGTCTCTGCAATAATTTTTTTTTCCGTGACCTCAATTCCCCTTCCTCATTATCCTT